GATAATTGTTTAAAGTTGGAGGACATTGCTAGGGTGTTCATTACAAAGCAATATCATCAGAAGTAAATATGGCATAAGAAGAGAGGTAAATCTGCAAAAGTGATTACCTCCCTTTTCAGATCTCTGTACTGATAAGGGAAGATCACTGCGTAGGAGATTGGCGATATGGTCTTGGGAGTTGCCTCCCTTTCACTACGTCATGAGCAACTACGCCAAATGGTATGCTTAAATTATAGTGAAATAGTCAGTATCATTTGATAATTAAGCACGGTCGATATATTTTGTTATCCAACATTTCGCCGAAGAGACCAATCACGATTACGTTTAAAAACCAACTCAGTATATATAGATCCATTAAAAATGACAGAGAATACCGATCGTAAATATAATCAGAAAAAAAATCTTCCTTAGTTCACTTAAAGCAGAAAGGTAACGTTAAATAATTAAATATCGATGGATAATTAATTTATCTGGTAGGTATATACACGGACCATATTAACGTAATTAAGTGGATGCTTTCCCTTGAAACATTAATTAATTCGTCTTTTAATTACAGTGTGTTTTATCTATCTATAGATAAGTTGCGAGGGAATGACTGCTTTGCTGTAATAGGGACCATGGCAAAACATAATATTCCTGGTCTAAATAGTGTGGAACATGTCTTGTCTATCTCAATGAAATAAATATTACAGACTGCCTGAAATGTCATGTGCAAGTCTATGCTATTTCAGGTGTCTGTGTATCACGACAGCGAGCCACACTGAATTCCCAGATTATCATACCATTTCATACATTATTAAGCTAAGTACTATATTAGATATAGAGAATAACAGGTTACTGTCTTTTGAGAAAGGGTTTCTCAGACGAGGTTAGATATGGTCCTGGAAGGGGCGAGGCTTGTCGAGCCCACCCGGACCATATCTAGCCGAGTCTGAGAAATTCCTTCCTCAAAAGACAGTAACCTGTTATTCTTTTTATCATGCCTCTGTTATGACTTTGCATCTTATTTTTTTAATTCGGGGCGCTAAATTTCTGAAAGTACGGTAACCACAAGAGGGTTTTACGCCAAAAAAAGTAGTCCGAGGGTTTTTACCAATAATTTTATAACACAACACAATTTTTGGTACAATCTGTTTTAACAATTTATTTACTGTGTATTATCATAAATATTCAGCAAAGTCAATTAAACAATAACAACAATAAACATCATCAGTGCTGATCTGGCGTAGGAACATAGTGTTCTCAAGTCACTGACTGAGAAAGGTTGATGTTCTCAGACAGGCTTTATCAGGCAGTTGTCATAGTAATGGCATGATAAAATATCATACATATAAGTACAACTACCATGTCGGGAGAGAAAAAATATGATGACTGTGTTTTAAACCATATGAACTGGTACAAACTGACGGACACTTTTTCGGGTACTGCCACCTATACTTCTATATTTCTATTTAGTTTAATAATATTTTATTGTATAAATATACACACAATATACAATTTCATAATTTTACAGACATTATCAAGTGTACATACAAAAGGGTTGGGCCAAAAGTTCTAACAACATTATCGTGGGCCCTTCCCTGAAATATTTCTATGACATAAACAGGAAATATGAGCCGTGTCACGACAAAACCAACATATAGTGCGTTAGCGACCAGCATGGATCCATGCTGTTCGCTTACCAACTCTAAAACAAGTAGAGAAACTGATAGCGAACAGCATGGATCCTGATCAGACTGCGCGGATGCGCAGGCTGGTCTGGATCCATGCTGGTCGCAAACCCACTATGTTGGTTTTGTCGTGACGCGGCTCATATAACAAATTACTCCTCAAACTCAAACAAACACAAAAAACTTCCCAGAAAAAAGGTACTTACTCATATCCTGAACCTCTTAAATGCTAATTTAACTTGTTCATATATTCAAGCGATTTAATTATGTATCAGTGTGTTTAAGCTCATCTTAGCTCTTGTCATAGGCAAATTCATAATATTCGAATAGCATTCGTAAACACCCCCCCCCCCCCCAAAAAAAAAAATAGAAAAAAAACAACCTTGTGACTACATGCTTTAAATTCTAAAACCTTTCTAGTCTAAAACTCATATACATAGAACTTATAATAAGATAATAAGTAGCATTACCCAAAAGATTTGTAATTCCTACCCCTTGGACAAAAGGCTGTCGCCTGGGATTCATTTTTGTTAAATCCTTTTTTACCTTTAAATTGTAGGACATATTAATCGCTTTTAGGTATTTAGCAAGTAGCATTGTCTAAAAGGTATCTACAACAAAATATATCAATCATGCCACAGCGCCAAAAATAACTTTACTCAATGAAATTTACTGTAGGCTCAAATTTTCTGTTTGCCAAGGCCACATTTGTACCTTATTTTTACAAAAACAAAATTGACAAGAACTATTAGCATAAGCTCAGTACAAGTATAAATAGCTGGTCATGACTCACTGTGACGATCAAGTTCTAATTCATGCTCTGAATGAACGAATCCTTAGAAATGTGTGGTCGTATTTATATATTACACTCGTACTTTTTGTCCTAATTTTAGACGTGCTTTAGGTAGGTAATGTGAAGAGAGAAGAGGGCATGCTTATGTATTTAAAATATTTATCGATCATAAGGGGGTGCACGTGTAACTACATGTATGTACCAGATATATTGAGAATTCTAGCCACTTCGAGCGATTGAATAAGTAAGGAATAAATCGTTATTTAAGAACTTATACAAACACATACATTTCCTTGATACGTTGCATGTAATTATGCTGGTGCGCCTTCTGTGTTGTTTCTATAAATATTAATGTAATGATATTTTTATATTTGTCATATTAATTGAGGGACTATGTTCTTGTTTTACATTGGTTTAATTGATTTAATTATGTAGCTTTGTTAAAAAAGGATACAAGTTAAGAACATATCTCGCGTATATATAATGATTTTATAAGCGTATGTAGGCCTATGCAACATATTGAGATACATGTACATGCCGTTTTAAGAATTCAGCTAGAAAATCAGATTACATGTATATATGAAAAAAATATAGATGTAATCCAGCATAATCTGAAGATTTATGGAGAGAATGTACTTGTATATAAGTAATAGTTACCGTACGAGGAATAGGTCTGCATAGTATTTACAGACCCGGGTGGCGATTTGAAGACCGAGAGAGCGTAGCGATCGAGGTTTTTAAAAGGCCACCGGGTCTGTAAATACTATGCAGACCTATTCCGAGTGCGGTAACTATCTTACCTACATGCTCTTTTGTTTTTCTATCCATATATCAGTTTTTAGCTCAGTATTAATTTTATTAATATTACTCACAAGAAACATATTACTTATGTACTTTATCATGTTTAAGAAAGCATTCCAAAGCCAAGCAAAGATACCATCCGCTACGCTCTTGTAATACATTCGTTCACAAATCAGGTGTTATTTGAATATTCTCGTGATTTTCGTGGTGTTTCATTAGGTAATGTACTTGTTGAGTTGAGTCACAGAAAATGAAAACAGAACTTGTCGAGTAGGGAAAGGTAAGATCATTATTTTGATATATGAATACATAACATATTAATAATATAAACAAATACTGAGGAAGATAAAAATGTTTTCTAATCATTAAAACGGAACACTTTATCTTTATATATAATAAATTTCATGGTAAATAGATGATCAGGCTATTTCTTATATAATTAAAATATACGATTTTTTTCAACGGGGTTCTATGAATAAATATTAGTAATACATGTAGTTACACGGTTATGTAAGTTGGGTTTTGTTGTTGTTGTTTTTTATGATGGCTGATTTTAAATGTTCTTAGAATTTCATCCATGTTTGGAAGAATTTTCTTTCCGTGTATTCTTAATTAGCATAATCCGTTATAAGACCGCATGTAAGCACGCGGTCTAGAATGGAAGCGCAAGTCGTATTCTTGGTACTGGTATACAAAATCCAAATTGTAATGTAAAAATAACTGGGAAAAAATGATAAAAACGGTCTTATACTTAAGATGAACTATACTCTCACTGAAAGTAATATTTTGGAAAAGAAAGATGCAGAAGTTGACTTTGATTCGATATGCACCAATAATATAATCTTCGTATATATCCTATAATGCAGAATTGTTAAAATAATGCAGGATTGTGCAAATTCAGACATAGTTGTGGAAATAAATACCGAAAACTAGTATCTTATGAAGCTATATAGTTCGGCAAATATGTTAGGTATACCGAAAAGCAAACTTTAAAGAAAGGCTTAATGTGCGTTGTTATACTCATTAATATCGGCGAAACACAAAACTTCAACGCCAGAACAGTAGCCAGTTCGTTTTTCTCGCAAATAATCTGGAATATAAGTTATGAGGGTACTTACAGCCGTATGCGCTAATTTATTTCGATTAATCTTTAAAATATATATCGACCCTTTTCCTATTCAAAGTGGTCATTATCCCCCCCCTCCCCCACAATATAGCGATATTTTACGGTGACTATTGTATACTGTAATGCACGAGTTTCTCGACCTCACATATTTTCTATTGTATAGAGAACAATAGAACAATAACCGGTCGGTATCTATTTGCAGACCTGTTAACCGGTCGGTAAGTGATTTACTAGACCGCTCTTAACAAAGGAGCCGGTAGGTAACATGTGTTACTAAGTATTCTAGTTGTATAAAATGGCATAAGAATGTTGTTAGCCGTATAAATACTATTAATATACATTGTATTTGAATAATCGTTATAATAATTTTTATAACGTTGTAGTATAATGTTTAATTTAGGTCTAATTAGGGCCTTTAAAATTACCTACTTATTACGCATAACATAGAACAAGAGGCCTACCACTGCGTTCATCAATACGCCACCCCCTTTATTATGTTTCTTTCTTCATCGTATTTAATGGGGTGATTTGTACACTCCCACTAATCCCCGGAAGAGCCTCATAGACGAAAAAAGTGAAACTGCTAATTCGTAAATGTATTAAGTTTCTGCGCATGCGCAAGTCTGCTTTCCAAATGTAAACACTAATGTTCTAAATTATGTAGTATTTTTTCACTCTAGCGTATCATTATATTTAAAAGTAGACCGTTCTAGTCAAAACCACACATTCATTTAAATAGTTCCTTTGCAATAAGCCTGTTGATATATCGTGACAAGTTATGGGTTTATTATCCGAGGGATCACCACTATCTTGGGAGGACACCAAAAGTCATGCTGACCACGTTAGAACGCATGGGATTATACAATTTTTAAACCAATTCAAGAAATTACGTGACCGGACCAAGGACGTGTTGTACTGGGGGGATGAGGTTGGTAAATTTGTTTGTTTGTAATACTCATTGAGATGTCTTGTCTTGGAAAGTTTAATGTAATATTTAGATTTGTTTATTTTGGGATAACAAATTTTTATCAACTGCATGTCATCATATTATTCCTGTGTCAGTGTAATGAATATTGTTAACGCAATGCTGTCAAGAAAGCAAGGAATATGTCCATCTCTGTATAATTGGACAATTCATACTGGATACATTAAAGAGGCATTTATAATCCAGTAGTCTTGAAATATATTGATGTGCCTAGATGCCAAGATATGTTTGTTCTGGTCAGAATCTCACCTCTCATTGCGTAATCTAGTACAATTAATAATTGGACTAATAATTAAGGGACTTGGGCCATGGTTACACGATTTGTGCACTATTTACTTTTGACAATGTATGCATATCTACCGTGAATCAGCTGATCCCATGAATATTAGAGTCACAGTACCTGTGCTCGACCAGCCCAGTGCTCGACCAATACTTCTATTTGTGTATGATTAATGCATAAAAGTGGAAAAACCCTGGGAATTTGTTTGTGCTTTTTGTACCTGACCTGTAACCTCTACACCATGTACAAGTACTCCAACTTTGGTAGAAGATTGGCCATTTTGCAGACAATATTTAACAGTACAAAAATACATTTCTATATTTAAAGTAGCAGTAAAACTATTTAAAACACTGAAATAATGGTAATTTAGGGCAAATGTGGACAATACTTTGTAAAATTGCCTTTACTCTAATGATTCCAATTGATTTCCATAGGAAAGGTGCTTAAAAATTATCAAAACCCTGCTCTCCATAAAAGGCAGGGGTTATGAACATGTAAACAAATATGGCAGCTGTACGGAAACATATCGGGAACACACCACTAAAAGCGTAGAACATTTGTATATTTAACCAAATATCACACTTAACTACTTTTGCAGAGTGATTTTAGTAAAATAAATATGATAATAAGTTATCTAAAACATCCCAATATATGAAAATTCCAAATCTCTTATAAGCACTTTATTTGTCAATGTATAGCATTTCCTTCTTATCATATTTACTCTCATATTTACATCTATAGACACTAAAACATAATTTTTTAAAAATATTTTTGTAATAGAATTGTTGAACAAAAAAAATTATATCTGTTTTTATAAAATAAAAGTTCTGATAGAGATAAAACCACCTGGTCGAGCACTGGTTGGGTTGCCTGAAAAATATAGTGGTTTTATACCCTAGATACAACTCCGTGGTAAATTGTATCCTGATCTGTGTAATTAAAAAGCTCTAGCTTATTGTGAGTTGAAAAGGGCCAGCTTTGTTACAAAAATAAGTTTCCCAGCAAACTTTTTGTTATGAAAGAGTTTTTACGTGATTTTGTAAAAAACTGGTTGAGCACTGGTACGGTGACTCTAAGTGTCATATTTATCTGTAATTAATGAAAATAAGTAAAGGAAGTGGCTAGCCATACGGGCCCGTACGGCTAGCCAAAAGTTCTAGCCGTACGTGAGTCACGTACAACTAGCCAGGACACACTGTATTGGCTAGCTGTACAGCACTTTTCAAAATTATATGGAAGTCGAAAATGCATATGTTATTTTATGACTTTAAGCGAGGACTTGTACAAGACACAGCAATTGTCTTCGTATGTTTACTTTTTAGAGATTATAATCGCCTTGTTGGCTACAGTAAAGAAAGTATACGAATACAGTATATATTTTTGTCATCTCAAGACGTCGAGAAAAAATAGCGTTTGGTTGCAGTTAATTAAATAACATCAATTTAAATAGTTTACAAAACTTTGATAATTTATTTTGTTTCATTTAGTTTAATTTTCAAATAAAAAAAGTATAAAAAAAAACAATAAAAAAACGCCGAAAATAATTGTTTTGGGCTCTGATAATTGCGTCAATTACCGACGATATAGAAGTTTGTCCATCATTAAGGAAAGTTTGCCTTAATTAAGGCTTATTAATTGATTCTGCTTTTATGTTCGATATTTTTAAAATTATCTATACTGTATTTGAAAATTATTAAATTATTTTTGCTTTCCACTGTTTTTTTTTCAGTATTCTTTTTATTTACTTATTTATTTATTCAATTATTTATTCCCCTCCGATCATTATTTATTCGATCCATGTGCTTAATTAACAAAAATGATTTGACAATTCATCTTTCATACAAATAAAACAACAAATCATAAGCATGGAAATCAAGGACGTTATAACTTATAACATACAACTTTAACACTCGTTTAAAGACACAAAATAACATATGCATTTTCGACTTCCATATAATTTTGAAAAGTGCCGTACGGCTAGCCAATACAGTGTGTCCTGGCTAGTCGTACGTGACTCACGTACGGCTAGAACTTTTGGCTAGTCGTACGGGCCCGTACGGCTAGCCACTTCCATAAGTAAAAGTTGAACAATTTTACCAGCTAAATGGATAGGATCAAAGAGCATCTGACTATACTGGTGCCTCATATTTCCATGGTTCCCATAATTCCAAGGTATTAGGCATAAACAACCTCAAGTGCCTCCTAGACATCATGCACCTGCTAGGAGTTTTACTTTTACTTTTTTATTGTATTTTTTTATCAAAATGCTACATATACAACTGAGAAAACTTATTATTTATTCAGATTAAGAGCAAAGTAAATTATATCACCATTTTACTTTCAGTTTTCATAGTCCTTTCAAGACAATTGTCTTTGTTACACAACCATTGAGATGTTTTATAAATGCTATATAGAGAAAATCCCCACTTTCAGACAAGGCTATGTATAGATATACTAAAAAATAAAAATAACTATTGGTTTTGCTTTTGAAACTCTTAAAAGTAATTGCCTTGGAAATACGAGAACACAACTTTACTCACTATGCAGCAAATGGGTGTTAATGGTCAAGAATGTAGTGTACATAATTGCTCACATGCAAGCATTTAATGGAATAATCTATGATGTAACTGACATGTCTTCCCTACAATATTCAACATATTTTCCATAATTTTATTCTTCTTACATTTGTTGTCTGTGTTAAAGATTGCACATAATATGTATATATGATTGTATATGGTCACTGAACTTTTGAAGTATTTCTTATTTTGTATGACATCTTGTTTATGAATTATGACATTTGCACAAGAAAATTTTAACAGTACATTGTATATATAAAGCATAGTCTAACATTAAAGTAAAACAATGTCTAGCAAAACACTAGACCTTGTATTAAATGTTTGTACATGTGGTAACCGTATCTTTGTAAAGTGGCTCTAAACTAGAAATATATGCAGTAGAACCATTTGGTATTTATAGAAAATATAGATAAAGGGTTTTAGGGATTTATTCCAGGAGATTGCTTAAAAGTCTAGCTTATTTAATTAATACAAATACAAATACAAGACATTTATATAGCGCAAAAATGTATTAAATATTCGATTGCGCTGTACATTATTAAGACTATATACACATATGCTTGATCAAGACACTCCCAAACCCAGTCTCGATGGCACAGCCAATCTACAACTCTAGTTAAAAAACAGTCCAAACAAGTATGTTTTAAGTTTGGCCTTAAACTGATTTTCATTGGTAATGTCCTTCAGATAGTCTGGCAATGAATTCCACCATTTAGGTCCCACAATGGCCAAGGATCTATCAGCAAGTTTTGAATTTGTTGATGGTATATCAAACCGAATGTGGCTAGATGATGAGGATCTCAGTCTTTTCCTGTACTGACTCTGGCATTTAGTGAACAATTTACGAAGATACAATGGAGCGGTGCCATTTGCAACACGAAACACAGTCACAATAACTTTGTACATGATTCTTGCTCGAATTGGAAGCCAGTGGAGTGATTTAAGAATTTCAGCACTGGATTGATAGTAAGCAGCTCCAGTGACAATTCTAGCAGCATAATTCTGCACACGTTGTAATTTATCAAGTTGATAGGCTGGAATATCAGCGAATAATCCATTGCAAAAGTCTAAATGTGAATGAATCAAACCGAGAACAAGGATTTCTGCAGATTTCTGAGTGAGATGTTTTCTGATTGCTTTCAAATTTCTTAACTGCATGTGTGCAATCTGACACTTCTTTTGAATATGAATGTCAAAACTTAAAGTGCTGGTCATCTGTACTCCAAGGTCTCTCACATTGTCAACACAGTTGACTTCGACCCCACCAACATTGACACTGGAAATGTTCAATTTCTTCAGCTGATGTCTTGTACCATAAATGATGATTTCTGTTTTGCTATTGTTCATTTTTAACTTAAATCTAGTCATCCATGACACAATATCATTAAGACAGTCAGTGAGTTTTTGGCGAACGATTTCTTCGCTGTGATTGTCACCAGCTCTAATTTTAAATGCCACTTTATGATCGTCTGCATATCCATACAAATCCGCCGGATATTTCTGGACTATTTTGTTAAGGGCAGCTATATAGAGAGTTAATATCACCGGTCCAGCACAAGAACCCTGGGGAACCTCGAACCTCAGTGGTTCTGTATCCGATGAGGACTGTTCAATGACAACTTTCATATCTCTGTTGGTTAAATAAGATTCGATCCACTTTAATGGAATACCCTGTATGGCAAAGTCTTTCTGTAGGATTTCAAGTAATATTGGTATATCGATAGTATCGAAGGCGGCGCTTAAATCAATCATTACAACTATTGTCACATGGCGGCTATCAGCTGTTTCTAGCAGATCACTGTACATTTTCATCATAGCAGACTCAACACTGTGAAATTTACGGTATGCACTTTGGTAAGATGGTAACAAATTGTTGGACTCAATGTGGCTTGAAATTTGGTTCATTGCAGCTTTTTCAAGAATTTTCGACAAGAATAACAGGTTTGATACAGGCCGATAGTTTTTCAATTCTAAGGGAAGGCCTTTCTTTTTCAAAAGGGGCTTAATAACAGCGCTGTTCCACGTCTCTGGAAAAACACCAGAAGACAATGACCGATTCACGATTTCTGTCACAACAGGTGCAAGCAAATGAAGATTTTCTTTCAGCTTTGGTGTTGGCATAACGTCCAACTCTTAATTGTCAGTCAAAGGTCTATACATATTAGTAATAAAAAGTGTGGGGTTATGTCCACTTTATAAAATTGGAGGTGTGGGGTTTTGTCCACTCTATAAAATTTAGATTTGGGATTTTGTCCACTCTTTAAAATTTTAAGGTGTTGGGTTTTGACATGTGGGGTTTTGTCCGTCTTTCTATTTGCATATACAAGTATTTTAAATCAGAACTGTTGCTGCACTATATTGATTATCTAAACTTCCTGACCTAGTGAACTTAAACATCATAAGGTGATGACTACTATGCTCCTAAAAATTTCTGCCTTAAAAAAATATTTGTATAATTTCTGATATTATATATACTTGTATGTCGTATTTTGTTTGCACTTGTAGTCTGCATAATAATAATTACCATTTTGATATAATATTATTTTGGAAAGAGACTTTTTGTGTCGCCTCTACGGATTAGTGGCAACATATAGGGATCACTTCTCTGTCGTCTGTCTGTCCGTCCGTCTGTCACAAAACTTGTCCGGACTACTCCTCATAAACTACTGGTGCAATTTCATCCAAACTTTACCGGAATGATCAGTAACAAGTCTAGTTGTGCATATTATCAGCATTTTCCGGTTCAATGATTAATGTCAGAGTTATGGCCCTTTAATAATTTTTAATTTTAAAGTTTGTTCGGACTACTTCTCTTATACCACTAATGCAATTTCAATGAAACTTTACAGGATTGATCTGTAGCTCAAGTCCTTGCGCATATTGCTTTGGTTTTGCGGTTGAATGATTTTTGGCTGAGTTATGGCCCTATGATAAAAAGGTGTTTTTTTCTGTGTGTTGCCAGATACACAAAAGCTTGTCCGGACTACTCCTCATAAACTACTGGTGCAATTTCATCCAAACTTTACAGGAATGATCAGTACCAAGTGTAGTTGTGCATATTGTCAGCATTTTCTGGTTCAATGATTTTTGTCAGAGTTATGGTCCTTTAATAATTTTTATTTTTAAAGTTTGTCCAGACTACTTCTGTTATACCACTAATGCAATTTCAATGAAACTTTACAGGATTGATCTGTAGCTCAAGTCCTTGCGCATATTGCATGGGTTTTCTGGTTGAATAATTTTTGGCCGAGTTATGGCCCTTTGATAAAAAGGTGTTTTTTTTCTGTGTGTTGCCAAATACACAAAAGCTTGTCCGGACTACAACTCATAAACTACTGGTGCAATTTTATCCAAACTTTACAGGAATGATCAGTACCAAGTCTAGTTGTGCACTGTCCATCTGTCTGTCCGTCTGTCACAAAATTTGTCCCAACATGAAATTGGCCATCATGAGGCGACACATGTGATTACTGATCGCTCTTGTTCATTATACAAATACATTTTATTATTAATAAACATGTATAGTCTTGGTATATGGGGCACTGCTTTTTATTAATAAACAAAAGCTGTTGGTAGGACAGCCTACTTGACTATTTTGAATGCTTGATTGTAAAATTAGAGCATGAAAAATGTAAAATAAATTCAGTTCAAAAAGGGCCATAATTCTGTTAAAATCCGTGTTAGAGTTAGGGACCTTGGATAGTGGCCTATTATACTCTTAAAGAAGTGTCTGAATATTCAACTCATTCCCTTCACTAAAACTTAACCAAATCCTGATACCAACACAGACACATGTACAATATATATAATAGTAAAAATCATGTCACTTTCTTTGAACATGTGTACAACATGTATTGATATAGCAGTGAAAAAAATCATGTCACATTGTTTGAACATGTTTACAACATGCATTGATACAACAGTTAAAATCATGTTACATAACCTTCCATAAGTAAACTTATATCATCTGAATGGAAATCAAATTGGAACAAAGCCATATTTAACAAACATCATGATATTTATAAACCTCTGCTTTAACCCATCTTGTAAACTTTCATGATCAGGTAGATATTGAATAGGACACATTTTTAGCAGGCTACAGTGATGCTCCTGTTTGTATAAGTTGCAATGAATATTTCATTGTCAGACATTTCCTCCTTTAATAACATGATCTTGGGCAGGTTGGTGATAGATATTACTAAGTAATTATCACTTTCAGAAGTTTATGACTCAGTTTTAACCCTTTTTAGGTTTTATAATCTTATGTTAACATTGCTATTATTGAGCGTGGTATGGCTTGTAAGGTGTCATTGTGCCATTAAACCCAAACAAACAAAAAACACATTCATTGTATGTAAATCATGTAATAGGAAATAAGTGATTACATGAATTGTATATAAGTATACAGAGCGTACATGTAGTACATGTGCATTATTGATTTCATTAGTAACAAACTAGCAGATTGAAGACCTCCTGAGACAAAAGTAATTTAATAGTTGAGTGAATTCTAGGACTATCAGTCAATACTTGGCTCAACATTGATTCTTTGAAGATCTGGTCAGATCTATATCATTACCCATGAGACATTAAAAATTGAGTATATTATACTAAGCTAGCCTCTGTATATGTATCCAGCTGTATGTCTTTAATTAACTTGTCCAGTTTCTGTTTTTTCAATCAGTTTTCTGGATAACAAGGTGAACAGTCAATAGCATAGAGTAAGGGTGTCAAGGTCAGCAAAAAAGCTAACCGTTTAAATGGCGACCTAGTAACTGTGGTGCACCGATTGCACAAAAATATTCTTAGATTTAAAACATTTACTTTGTTTCTTAATTTCAAGATATAACATTTAGTTCGTATTTATTAACAAGATTACAAAAGATATCCAATTAAAGAGTAATCATTTTGCCGCCTAAGGGCAGTACTATACACAATAAGAGAGCATGCAGTCAGAAAAACGCAAGTTTGTACAAGTTAGATAAATGAGCCGTGTCATGACAAAACCAACATAGTGCGTTTGCGACCAGCATGGATCCAGACCAGCCTGCGCATCCGCGCAGTCTGATCAGGATCCATGCTGTTCGCTTACAAACCCTATTACAAGTAGGGAAACTGACAGCGAACAGCATGGATCCTGATCAGACTGCGCGGATGCGCAGGCTGGTCTGGATCCATGCTGGTCGCAAACCCATTGTGTTGGTTTTGTCGTGACGCGGCTCAAATACAAAATGTCATATTTTGTCATAGTAAAAGCAAAGGTAATTTATAAGATCATTGCTATTGGTCTTGTACTAACCCGTTTAAACAGATAAACATGACACCCCCAGTATAGAGCCTGCGGTCAGATTGCATAGAAGTGTAGACTGACATGGCTCTGGACATTTGGCCAAGGCTATTTATTTTATATTTCACCAGGGTAATTAGGGTTCAGTTAATCAATATAGAAAAAAAAATGCTATGTCATGTTGTTAAATGCTTTTGTCACCTTTTGTCACCAGTTTAAAACATGGGTTAAATATCTATCCATACAGAGTGACCAAACTATAATACTGTTGAAGTGTTGGCTATTTTTCTTTTTCATTTGTTATATTTAACATTAGACAGGATGTAACTCTAGCTAATTGCTCTTTATAAGTTTATCATGCATTCTTGATTAAAATTTTGTAATAACAAGGATCCCTTATCAGAGTAACTATATAGATACTAGATGGAGAGCATCGGTTTTTACGTATGTATATATGTATTCTAGGCTTAATGAGGGTCCATCCACCCCTTAAGGCACTGAGATGTAACTGTCCCCGGACATTCCACCATTAATGTCCTTAAAATGTTATTATCTACCAAAAGGTGACCCATAAATTTTAAATTCAGTAATTCACTGAATGATACGAAATATGTACATGTATGCAAGTTGATCTTCAGCTTGATTTGGCCCTTGACATGGTATTTTATACTCTTGTCTGGACAGTGTTTATTCTTAATAGGCTCTAAAACAGTATTAAAATTTAAAAAGTGTAAAACTATGATCAGGCACAGTGTGGGTGTGTTGATACAACAGATTTAGGTTTATTTATAGAAAAAAAAAACTTGATCTCATTCAATAATTGTTCTGTGTCAAAAATCAGTACTAGAAGAAAATGTGAATTGATTTAAACAAAAGATTGACATTTCTAGAACGATTTTTAGGACAGTCAATAATAAATTTAAAAAAATGAAAGTGTAATATGAAAATGTTTATATATTTGTATGTGTAAATCTTGGCAGATATATTTCTTGGTCTTACTAGGAGTAAATCTGAAATAAAAAACAGAAAAAAAAAGAAAATGAAAACTGATGTTGAAGAGTTTTCAGGACATAGTTCCGTCACCTTAGTGCAGTAATAGGTTAACTCCTATTAAATCATATTAGGAGTTAACTCATAACTGCTCCCCAGGGTGAGGATATTTGCAAACTAAAATGCTTCTTATTATGCATTTCATTGACTGTCTATGCTCAAAATTAAATATAATAAAAAAAATGTTACTGCCATTGCATATGCTTTCAGAACTGACAAGCCAGTTGCTTTGAAAATTTTAAATATCATTATCAACATGTATTTTGCAGTGAAGCATGATTATTGTCATACATTTCTTTAACTTTTCATGTATCTTCTGTTGAATTATATAAGAAATTTGTTTGCTTATCGTCAGAGGCCTTTCGTTTTAGCCGCTGAAATAGCTCATATGATTGTACCCTTTTCAGGCTGAATTTGGCCATTACAAACAATTGTTTTAACATATAATACCATATTGGTCAATTTCAGGTGGAGTATATGCTGGTAAAATTCGACCATAAGAACAGAACTGCCAAACTTTCATTAAATGCTTTACCTGTCTTAGATGAACTCCAGAAAACTGAGAAAGAGCATCCAGAGTAAGTAAAGGAACTGTATTTTTGTTGAACCAGTAATTGACAATGACTTTAAAGCAGCATGCCTCCATGAATTATGAAAATTTTAATGAAAAAAATTAAAATGTATTAAAAAAGTAAAATAGAATCAATTTAATAAAAAAGAAAGTAATAAATTAACGCATTGCTAACTGCTTTCAAAATTTACAAAAATTACCAAAACAAGATTAGAATATGCAAAAATAGCCCATACTGTGTTAGCAACACAGAAGAAATATCATTGGTTACAAATATTGAAAATTAAGTTATTTATTGCACATAACATGTAAATTTTTTCTTGAATTCTGAATTTTCTTGAAATATTTTGACTCATCTGGAGGCATACAGCTTTAATCTTTTAAATTTTTGTTGTGGACTAACTATACTATACTGGTTGTAATTACTAATCAGGTTTATCAGGTCAATGGTTAAGAAGGGTGATCTTTGACTTTCCAAATTTTCGCTATCCTTGTCAATTGTTAAACAAATTTTCTTGAATAAGATAGGCTTTTAGCAGCTAAAATTATTTTTGTAAGATAAGAATATATAAGATGAACACATAGTGTTGAATTTTATTGTTGGAAATATATTGTTTATATTGTTACTTTCAGCAATCACCCAACAACATGGAGGCCAGAGTACGCAGCATATATGGTGGAAGGTACTCCAGGAAAACCATACGGGGGCATGATGGCTCATTTTAACCTTGTAGAATCCAACATGAAACTAAGGTTTGTTATTTCTTACTATTTTAGTATGTTTTTACAGCTGTAAAGTTGAAGTTATCCATGTGTTTCCTATTCCATCAGTTTTTATCAGTACCCGTGTTCTATAAATTATGTTTTTCAGTTTTAATAAAAGAATTTATGGGGTGTCCATGGCCGAGTGGTTAAGGTCCTTGACTTCAAACCCTTTGCCAGGGGTCTGTACTCTTTGTGCCTGAAAGTTCGGATGGACCCTCATTAAAACATAGAATATACCATGAATATACTGTTTGCGACTCTCCATGGTGGGTTTTAAACCCGACAGGACTTTGGATTCATACATGTGAGGTAGCTATCCAGCTAGTTAACGGAACCTCAATGGTTCTACTCAGGTGCCTTTTGTGCCTGAAATAATGCACAGAGGGGCACTTTAGGTCTTTCTCCACCAATACAGCTGGAAAGTCGCAATATGACCCTAAACTGTTTTTGTGCATTGTTAAAGGGTATCAAGCTAAAATTGGTACAAATTGTATACATAGATTGAAAAATAAAAAATAAAATCATACAGTTTTTATATCCTTTGGTGTATTACTCCTGATATTTGATACAGATTGCTACTTTTAATGTTTCAGTAGGGTTGTTTGTTGACAGAATAAAATGTTCCTTACAAAAGTAATTCCCTTCTGTTTTTAAGTAGGATTTAGAGATGATTTGGCTCTTACAAAAAATATTTCTGACATGATTTTTCCAATGGAGGTGATTTGATGTGGTTTTATTACGGTACAAACATGATTGTATACTGCTGGTAACAATGATTACAGACAGCCCTTTTTATATACTTTAAATCTGTTAAAATCATGTGATAACTCCCAACATTTTACTGATGGAATAATACCCTAGATAGTCTGACAATAATTCAAGCACATGTGGATATTTTGTTAGAACTATAACATTGCATGGCAAATTGATAAACTAAAATTGATTAAGTCCACATGTTCATGAATTTTAATTTCAAATCCATATCATGGAAGAACAAAATTGTCCATTAAAAAAAAATCTGTGGTGTATTACATAACCTTGTCACCTAGAAGAAATAACTATACATTTCTTGTTATTTTTCAGGAGGGAAGAAATCAGGAAATTGTTGGCAGCAGATGAGTACCCTATGTCTTTAACAGCGTTTCCAAGGTAATTTTTTTAGTTATTACACCTGGCAGCTGCACCAAAACAACATTACTATATCTGACAGCTTTCCTAAGTTAAAATTTCTATTTTTGACAACATTAATAAATCTTAACAGCTTTCCCAAGTTACCATTTTGTATGTGACAAGTTTTCCAAGTAAACATTTCTACAGCAGTTAATACAACTTTCCCAATATTACTATATCTGAAATTATATGAAAACTACCAGTACATGGTTACCTGCAAGAGAATTCAGCAGACTCAGTATTACTCACAGTTTCCATTAGATCTGACAAAATTTGTTCCTGGGCCTTAAATTTGCCACAGCTCTCCCACCCTCCTCCCACCTTTGATATTCATAACAAAAAAAATCTCTAATTGGACAACTTGTTCACTGTGTATGAAATTAAAGTATAAAGTACTTATACAAAAAAGATGACTGTACTTTTTCTAGCACTGGATCTAGGGCTATCATGACTGTCTTGTAATTATATAAACCTGGCTTTTTTTTCTTGATAATTCATGGGAGGATTGTAAGCAATATTTCACACTGAACACTGAGCATATGATGATGTATAATGCTGATTTGATAAAAAATTCAATATAACAGTTTCCCTCAAGGTTTGTTAATCTTTTAGAAGGTAATTTGAAGGTAATTCTGGTGGTCAGGTAGTAAGGTAAACTCAATAACTATTCTTGTTACTTGCTGATAAAATGAAGCAATTCTAATTCAAAATAACTGGATGAACCTGTTTTATATTGTCCTCTAAATAAAAAATTTAAATGTATTAATTATATAAGTGCTTGTCTATATACAAGGATTGAAAACTAGACATTATTTAATATATTAATGGAGTTGGGAGTCAGTGTTTTTCCTTTGAAAACTGGTTCTGGTATCATGGTGTTAATCAAGTAGGATACGGACCAATAACCTTTTGGTCGTGATGGTAATTTATCATGATGAAAAGTTTTGCAAATAAATATATAAAATAAAGTTTTGAAAAAAAAAAAATTCCCACACAGATTATAAATTTTTCATTCACAAAAGGGTATATATATATAAACAGTATTTTAATCCCATCAAGTCCAGTACATGTACTTCAGTATAGATCTTTATAAAAAGGTCATTTACGAGACATCAATGCGTATGGAAAAAAATGTAGATCGACTTTTAATTCTTTAATAGGCATTACAATGCAAAACCATTAAAATGTTAATAACGTCCAAGTCGATGAAAGTTTTAGACTTAATATGCGACTTGAATATATCGAGGTATTTTATCGCAAAAATGTTGATTACAATGAAAGTAACAAAGATAGTCATTAATCTTGTCATACAGTTAAATGACCAATTACGACACAGTTTTCTGTTTAAATGTGTTTAAAAAAGCTTATCTCTGTTGCCTGCCATTACAAAATATTTGTTTGAATTTTGAAAAAAAATTATTCAAATATGCCTGTATGAAAGGAATAAGTTGGTATACATTTGTATTAGCAAATGACGTATGCTCAAAATCATTGCCAGACGGTTAAAGCCTTATGTAGAATAGCAGCATAATATTTTGTTTTGGAACTTTGTTTCTGTTTGCGCAGTCAGTTTTCATGTTTGTTAGATATCAAAAACAATGTTACATCTCTTAAAGCTGCACGCCTCCAGATGAACCAAAATATTTCAAGAAATTCAATCTTTAGAAAAAATAATTAAGATCTTAAGAAAAGTAAAAAGATTCAATATTTAATTTAATATTCACATGTTTTGTGCGATTAATGACTGATTTTTTAGCATTTATCACTGTAATTCTGCGTTACTAACGCTGTAAGAGGTATTTATGTATATTTTGACCACGTTTTGGTAACTTACATGGATTGAAAGAGTCGTTTGTAATATGTAAATTACTTTCTTTGTTCACTTCACAATGTTTTACTTTTTATAACATTTTCAAAATTTTCATGAAAAATAGCATGAATCTGGAGGCATAGCCTGCTTTAAAAGAATCGGCCATAATGATAAGCCTAAAAATAATAAAATTTGAACAACACAAATTTGTACAATAAAAATTATTTTTCTGAAAGAAGAAAAAAAGCAACAACAAAAAACTTAGTGAGTGAAAGATTTGGAATTTTGCACATATATTACTGGTAAAGACCAACATCAAGTGTTCAGAAAAATCTTGGTGATGTTTTTACAATATTTCTATCTAGGGTTTGAATTAAAAAAAATGTTTATTTACAACACCACATGATTTATAGTGAAACGTGTGTGACAGTACAATACATATCATGGTACTTACAAAAATTAAATATAGATGTACTTGAAAATAATGAAATTGCTTTCTTATTACATTGAATTCTTTCAATGGCTGAAGTAATGAAAATAGGATCATAATAGTTTTCATTCACCATAAAAGCCAGAAACGTGTAATGTGAGAATTAAAACCCAAGATAAATATTTTGTATATTATTTCTAAATTTGACAGATGAGGGTGGGGTGGGGGAGGGTCATAGGCTTTCCATGCTTGTGCATTTACTCAGTGTTTGTAGAGTAATTGACCTTTACTTACTGAAAACTGTTCCGTTATATTGTGTCATGTTTCTTCCAATCAAGCTGGAATCAACAAACAAACTTTACAGGAGTGTTGATCAGCATGTGAAGCTTAGCACCTGGTGTTTTGCCAGTGGATTAATTTAGTTTTGTTAGAGTTATTGCCCTTGACTTAGTACAAATTTGCAATTTTCAACTTGTGTCATGCCTAGCCCCAAAAGTATTTTACCTCGAGTCATGAAAGTTAACAGGAATGTTGGTCAGCATGTGTAGTAATTCATTTGGGGGTTTGCTTGAGGATTTATTCAGTATTTATAGAGGTACTGCCCTTGACTTAGTAAAAAATTTGCAATTTTCAGCTTGTGTCTTGAGTATCTCAAAAAGTATTTAACCCAGTCATGAAACTTTACAGGTCAGCATGTGTAAGTTTTGGTTGTAATTATTATCATTTAACTAACAGAAAAAATGGAGGTAGACTGACAAAAGAGTGGAGTGTGGGCGACATATGTGTCCAATGGACACATTTCTCTTTTACTTTGTTTTAAGTATTTCTATTCTTAATTCCTTTTGGGTTATTTTTTTGTTTATGAAATGATTAAAATTCAATGCAGACCCTGTATATTGCACAAGTAAAGCTGATTTTATGTATAAACATAAGTTTAATTAAAGTTTCTGATGACTCCTTTATTTAATCATTTTGATTTGGATTACATAACTTGTGCATTTGACTTGCAAGTTGCCCAGTAACACATCAGTTATCTATGGAATGTGAGCAGCTTGGTCCTTATTTCAACTCACATAGAAACATTTAATAGTTGTGTTTAAAGTTTCTTGTTGCTAGGTTGAACTTGTAGGTGTAAAAATATTCCAGATTTGATTTAACCAAGGTATTTTATCCAATGTTTTAACCTTTCAACTTTAACCTTAGTCACTATGGCTACAGAAATTTGTCCATGACAGTTGATTTTGTACATTGAATCTAATGATTTTTTTGTCACTCCACTGATTCAGAAAATAATTGTAGGACTAGTAATCAGTCACTGGTAATAGAACTCAGCAAATGTGGGTTTTTCTTAGCTAATTCTCCAGGTACAAACAAACTTTTATCATTATAGCTTCACAATGCACTACCCGTCACAATAGATTAGTCAAACTGTTTTGTTTATTTTCGAAGCTGTATTTGTAAAAGTGAAAAACCAAAATTTTTTAAATTACAGAGTAAGTCTTTTATTGGTCAGTTATCCAGAAAATGGTTAGATGGACTGACCAGTTAGTTGAGACCAAAAATGTGTTAAAAAATAAATCGGTGTACAAACCAAAAAAACAAATAGAGCATTGGGGGTTTAGTAATTAGCATTTCATATCAGATATCCAATTGTAAAGGTGTTCTAGTTAAAATGTAAGAGGGGTAAGAAATAGAATGCGGGGGAGTTCTAGTTTTTATCAATATCATGTTTAATAACATTCTGAGTATTATCTTTAAATCATCATTATTTTTATAATGTGCATTTAGGACAGGAAAAAGAACATAACATTTATGGGTTTATTTTGTAAACTTTTAAGATAAAATTATGTCGTTATAAAGGGATAAGCACTGAAGATTTTATTTAGATATTCAATTTTAGATGTCTTTATGAAATTTCCATAGCTTTTGAAATATTCATTTAACTTTTATATCGAACTGTCAAATCAAGTCAACCAAACTCCTGCACTTTTCTTTTGCCGATTCACCATGATGAAGGTTGTTTTTTTACATACTGCTTATAAAATTATTAATTACCAACCAGTATCTATTTTTACGATTCATTCCTTCAGTTGTGAAGAAATGTAATCATTTTAGTCTTAAAATATCATGATTGCATACTTTTAAGTGTTAAGATCTCACAAAATCACGTTTGCATGAGATTTCAGTATTTGCTGAGTCATGGTGATGCAGCAGATTTTTGTTATGAAAGGTTTTGAACCTGGGATGAAAGTTTATGCTACCCCATCTTTATTACTGATTGATTATTGGTTTTATTTGCAATTTATGATTTTTACCATCTTGAGTAAAAATTAAAGCAGAATGCCTCTAGATGTAGCAATCTATTTTTTTTGAAAAAGATTTAAGATTTTAAGTAAATGAAAGTTTAAACTTACATGTTTTGTACCATTAAGGACTGATTTTTCAGTATTTATATTTCTACTGCGTGACTAATGAGTAAGGACTGTTTTTGCATATTTTGAACTTTTTTTTCTTTTTTTTTGGTAATTTAAGTAGATTGTAAGTGCTGTTTGCTATATATAACTGCAAATCGGCTCTTACTCGGCAGTAATTAGTGTAGCCGCTATTTCATGAAGAAACCGGTGCTGATATTGAAAATTGTGATTGGCATATTTTAATTAGCCAGGTCAGGTGTTTCTAAAAAGGCTGATAACACTGTAGCAATGTGAGGGTACATTCAAATTTATTACATAGATAATGCACGTGGAGCTCAGCTCACAGAGACAAATGTGAACACAGTAACATTTTGATATCCTTTAAACTCTATGAGAAATGTCAATTATTAATTGCTGACTGTTTTATATTTTCTAGAAAAAGTAAGCAAAACATTATTTTGTTTCATATGACAGGAATGAATTGCATTAACAATCATAAATATTGTTGAAAACTCATTTTTTTACATGCCAGATTAAGTAATTGGACCCCATCCTTGTTTGTACGTGACTGCTGGGGAAAAATAATGTTATGCTTAATTAAAGAGGTGACACTTTCTATATTTTTATCTGATATCGAGTTGTAAGAGCCGATTTGCAGTTATATGGGTAAGAGTTCGATAAGACTCCCTACGGTCGTCTTAATACGAACTCTTACCCATACTTAAATTGCCTTCTTTTTTCTCTTGACAATATATTATTTTAAATACAAATTATTCGAAATTTTCAGGAAAATTAACATGAATCTGGAGGCATTCTTATAATAAAGGATAAAATAATAAAGAAGGACCATAGATTGTTGAATGTAATAATGTGTGTATAATCTTGTTTCTCTATTGATATTTTAAGATTCCCTAGTAGTGGCTATCTTAATGATTGTACATTTATTAACTAGGTATATAGACCACAGAATCTTTAACTGAACTTTAGATGGTCTTCATTATTGAGGTCATGTTATATTAGTTATAAAGATTTTTGGTGAATAATATCGTCCCATAATATAAAATGGTTGTTTATATATTTCAGCTTGGGTTATATTGCAAACAGCCATTCATACACAGTCATATAACCTGTGACAGGAATCTTTATAACAAATTTATAATACAGCAAACTTCCTTTATTGAGAAAAAAAAGTAAGATTTCTTGTAAATTTACAGCAGCCATGTATATATGAAATTATATAAACATCAGGTTTGTCCAATGAAAAGCGACATTACTAAGGTGCAGTATTATGAATATTATGTAATTAAGTGTATCAAAATTACAATGGCCATAAAAATGAGACACAAATATTTTCGGATCTCCAATGAAGTCGGCTTACCTTTATTTCACACTATTTATATTTTATTTACAGACTTGGTTGTGGAAATTTTACCGACCCTATAACAAAACCCACTCCAACTGACGGTGCCTCACATTCATTATTTTATGCTGACCAAGTCATCTTTCAAGGACATCCTAGATTTAGGTAAGTATTTACATTATGAATTTTTTGAAGTTTTGAATTACTTTGAGTGGTTGCAAATTTTGTTGATGGTATATGTAATAAGTTAGTGACTAACCTATACAATTAGTAAGGAATACAAAAGACACTGTGCGGCCTGACAAGGCTCTACACTTTGGGCCCTTCAGATTCTTTATATTGATACTTGATATTTAGAAATCCCACAAAATCTTAAATGGACAGTTCCATATTCAATGTAGGGTGAGTCCATTATATAGATGTAGGAGGGTAAAGGTTCTCTATGGTGTTAAATTGTTAAAACAATTTATAGAAACCAAGTTGAGCATAAAAAACCTCTTTAATGTGAAAACTTCGTTGAAAAAATTTATAACCTACTGGACTCATCAACAGAAATGGGTTAAGTCCTGTTAAATTTAATAGGAGTTAACTAGTTATTGTGCTAAGGTGACGTGGTGGGAATATGCCTGAGTTGAGAGGTGTGGATGGATAGAGGTTAGGGTAACTTGTGAATAAAACTTTATGATTTTTGATAGGGTTGTCTAATATGAATTAACAGATACATGTGAGATAATGAGATTATTATAGATAAAACTTTTTGAAAGTTGTGTATGGTGATAATTTACCTAAAATGAAGTTTAGATTACTTTTTTAAAGTTATCCTGTTGACAAAAAGAAGTTACAAACCCTTTTTGCTAACATTGAATTTTGTTTTCAAAAGTAACTTAAATCTGTTGTGGGAAATGCTATATTTTTCTCGCCATCTTCTCATGCTTTATAGGAGAAACTTTTAAAGAAGATAAATATAAAAATAGTTGGCTTTTCATATTGGATATTTTACATATATGAATGCATGTACATATATTTGTTAATATGGCCCATTATGTCTCCGATATGCTATCATATTTATTTCACAAAAACTTTAAAAAAATTTTACCTTGTTACAGTTTCCTAAAAATAACTTATTTGCTATATAGATGAACTATCTTTACTTCTTTTGCCTTGTTGGCAGTTAGTGTAATAATAATGAATCAGTATATTGTATGGATGTCAAAATACTGCTTTGTTTACATTTTGCTACTTCTGCGGCATATTGCTGCATAATTCTGCGCTACTTTCTTCAGCTGTTTATCACCAAATGTGGTATAAATACATTATTTAAACATTATTAAACACATGTTTGACATTTCAAAAGAATTTGATTCATATGTATTTCTGAGACATTATGTGCCTTTAACCTTTCTCCAAGAATTTAGTTTTTAGTCCCCTACCGGAGGGGGGACTTTAGGTTTACCCTCCGTCCGTCTGTCTGTCTGTCCGTCAGTCCGTCCGTCTGTCCGTCCGTCAGTCCGTCCGTCCACAAAACTGGATCCCGCGATAACGCAAAAAGTACTGAAAATATTTTAATGAAACTTGATATATGGATAGATGGCAGTATGGAGATTATGCACGTCTTTTTCTTTTCTTCCTATGTTAAAAATTTTGGTTGCTATGGTAACAAATAGACTGAAAATATGGCAAATTTTACACATAACCTGGATCCCGCAATAACGCAAAAAGTACTGAAAATATTTTTATGAAACTTGATATATGGATAGATGGCGGTATAGAAATTATGCACATTCTTTTCTTATCTTCCTATGTTGAAAATTCTTGTTGCTATGGCAACAAATAGACTGAATTTCAAGATTTCTGATTCTAGTTTTTAAGTTTTTTCACTATAAGTTCTTTATTTCTTAAGGTATTTTCTTCAAACTTTAAATATAAATTGCTTGTCATCAACCACATCATATGTGACAAGGTTTACAACTCTAGCACAAAATTTTTCAGAATTACCTCCCTTGAACTTAAAATTTTCATGAAAAAAAAACATTGTTTTTTTAATAACTTCTTTTTCTGAATGTATCTACTTCAAACTTCATATAAATGTTTCTTATTATCACTCAACATTTATGAGTGTTCAATACTCTAGCAAGACTATTTCCAGAATTATGCCCCTTTTGAACTTAGACTTTTTTTGAGAAATTGGTAATTTTTACTCCAACTTCTTCAATCATGATAGGATTTTAAAAATGTTATATTTTGATAACAGGGATGTTTAAAAAATAAATTTAGAGTGTCCTTCAGTCCGTCTGTCTGTACATAAAAACTGTTTCCTGTGATCACTTTTAAAGAACTTTTTCGACAAATTTACTTAAAATAGGAACCTAAGTGAATGGCCAATGGCCCTTCAGAATGTTGCTTGGGCTCTTACCGGTAGGGGACTCATGGATTGCTTGCAATACTATGATAATTGCTTGTTTAATATATTTTGGCACAGATGTTCACTATTCAGAGGCAAAGTTTCACATGCAAATTCCAATCATCTCAAGTAGAAGTCAAAGTTACATAAAAGTATAAAAGTGTATGTACTAATATTAGATCATATTATCATCATAAATTGAGGGATTTTAACACAGATCTTTACCATCATGTTACTGAGCATTATCTAGCTCCAGATGTGCAAAGTCAAGGTCACTATAGATGATAAAATACGCAGAATTTCAGTATTACTTGATACAGTTGCACACAATTTGAACTAAGTCAGAAGGTCAAAGCTCAAGGTCACAACTAGAGGTCAGAGGAGAAAGTAGTCCACAGCATATTATGCAATGTGCAAAATTTATCTTTATTTTTGGCATATTTTGTCCCCATGTGGCTGAGGGGTTGCCTTTAAGGTTTGGGGCATCATAATTGCAGCCACCATTTATTACTGCGTGATTGTAAGAGGTGACTAAATGTGTTAGAATTACTGAGTCTATCTATGAATCTCTAAGCTCAAGCAAGTGAGGTGACTTTGACCTCTGGTGTTCCTTTAAGTTTGTCACACCTGAGGTTAGCCTAAATCATCTTTCCTGCTTTTGCGCTATAAGACCTTAATTGTGTTGGTGCACAAAACAAACAAACAGGCAAATTTTGACAGTGGCTTCTTTATTGATATAATAGTCCCATATATAAGATAATAATTAAAAGTTTACATTCAAATCTAGGCATGTCCATTATAAATGTAAACTTAATAGTAAAAAGCAGAGATCGAAATTCCACTCGTCCACTAGTAATTACAAGTAGAATTTAAAAGAACTCGATGAGTAGAAAAATGTTGCCTGCACATTGAATTTAGAAGCTACTAGTCTTGTCCTACAAGACGAGGGACTCGATGCCTGAAAAGGTGTATGTGTTACTGTATTTTTGTATGTTTCAGAACATTAACAAGGAATATTAGGCAAAGGAGAGGGCAAAAAGTTGCGATAAATGTGCCTAGTAAGTTATACTTCTTATATCTTTGGTCAAATGGCTTGTTTTCAGGACATGCTTATTTTTAACACATTCAATATAAAATGTCAAATTTTAGCCTTATTAAAGTAGTAATTCTGTAATGCTTTTCCGCCAAATAATTTCTAACATTGGTCAATATCGTAAAAAATTGGTAATTTCCGGAACGTTATTTTTCATAATATTCGGTATTCAATTATTTTTACCATTCTTAACTGGAATTTAGTACATGGCAATAAGGGATAAGTGATTGTAAATAATTCAATGCCAAAGGTTTTGAGAAAATAAGTTCCAGAAATAACGGATTTGCTTTTTTCTTTGGCGGGAAAGCATTGTAACAGTAATACTACCTTTACACTCTATGTAAAGTCAGCGGGTGATGTCGTTCAAAGAAATGGTGTGAGCTAGCTAATAACCATGACTTTGCCATTTTAAATTTTACGATATTATGTGATAAAAAATGATCGTAGGTTATTTGATTTGCCAAGGTATATTAACCTTCAGAAATGTGTACAATTTTATTTTGTAGTGTTTGCTAAGCTTTATATATTTTTAATAATGGATTTAAAGCATGTTTGATGATAATCACCTGAAGAAAGTAGGACTGAATGTGAAAATTGATTTGTCATAAAAGCAGCCAGATGTGTCAAAAAGTGGTATTTTCACTTCTGTACAAAATACTAAATAAACTATACATGTACTTAATTCCATATAGCAAGAGAAGCAAAACAAAGAGGCATTCATTATATGTCAAATGGAATAATTTTCCCTGTCACTGTTACAGGAACTTTAAAAGAATGAGAGTAAAATATTTGGCTGCAATTGGACTTTAAAACTGGTCGTCTGGAATGTTGAAATTATGTTTATGTATTTTTGAAATGTTTCCATTACTAGGTAATATAAGTGCAACTTATGGACAGGTCAGAATATATTCAGTAAATGTCCTAGCAAGTTACACTTCTTATCTGTTTTGTGCAAGGCTTGATTTCCCGGACAATCTTAATCTTTTCCATAATATTTTCAAACCCTTTTGCCCTTCGTTAAGTATTTAATTCTGGATGGACTTTTCCCCCCCGTTAATTTTATAGGACGGACAATTCCCCTCCCGTTATTTTAGCACAGCGGACAATTCCCCTCCCGTTTTTTTCACAGAGCGGAACGTGACATTATACGGCTCTTAATTATAGCCGCCACTGCGTATAAGATGACAGTTTTTACTCTTAACAACAAACTGTTAAAGATCGGAACTTTTAAGAATCATTATTTCACAAAGGTGACATTATACCGCCTTTAATCATTGCCGCCGCTGCTTAAGATAAACAAACTGTCAATAAAAAATCTTTAATCAATGCTGCCCTTAATTAAATGTGTCCTTGATTGCAAAACCAATAATTTACAATTATTTTACCGCTGCAGAAATGTATTGACGAAATAAAGATTATTTTAACAAAAAAATGCGTTTTGTTTTGTTTATATTCATGTCAATATAGACAAGCGAAATGTATTTAAAGTCGATCAAAAATACCTTTCAAATAACCAATATTATAACATATATATGTTCAACAGCCACGGGATGGAAATTGTCCGCTCTGACAACAGAGGGAGGGGAATTGTCCGCTCTGCTAAAATAACGGGAGGGGAATTGTCCGCCCTGTAAAATAAACGGGAGGGGAATTGTCCGCCGTAAAAAAATAACGGGAGGGGAAATGTCCGGGTTGTGAAAAAACATTCAAATTTACTGGGAGGGGAATCATCCGGGAGGGGAATTGTCCGGATACCCATTGAATTTTGCCCTGCTTTGAATTGAGAACTGTCTTATTTTTTGTATTGAGGTACAAATGAAGCTTAATTTCAAACCCATTTCTACCAGCCAATCACAAAAATTCTTTACGTCACATGACAGCACAGAACATTTATATATATATTTCAAAATTGTATGCTTACAGAAATAAAAATGGCCCACTTTTTCAGACTATGTAGACCACATTATGCTTCTTGATTAAGACGGTAATACATGTACTTCTTAGCCATATTGAGGGATGTCCATTGCCAAGTGGTTAAGGTTAATTAGACTGCTTGCCCTAGACTACTGTGGGTATGAATCTCACCTTGGACTTCAGACAGGCAGCTATCCAGCAAGCTTAGTAGCGAGTCAGTAGTTTCTACTCTGGTGCCCCCAAGTGCCGGAAATAATACTGGAAAGGGCACCAGAGGTCTTCCTCCACAGGTAAAGCTGGAAAGTTGCATTAATGATCTTTATAGCGTCAGTATAACTTAAACCCCTGACCACCCCTAGCCTCCTTCTTAAAATAACCATGATGAATTGATATGTAGATATTGTACAGAACAATGTAAAAAGGCCTAATGTTATTAAATTGATATATTTTCTTGTTTTCAGTATTCAAGGATAAGAACACCCCTTCGCCTTTTATAGAAGATTTAAGTCAATATGGAGACAATGGTGAAAGTGCTAAAGCAGCCAAACCAGATCATATATACATGGACTGTATGGGATTTGGTGAGTTACATAGAACAATCCCGATAGTTCCAATGTTAACACTGTTCCAATCGAGGGGTCATGTGTTTGAGCCTCAGCTTCTCAAACTTAAATTACTAGCAAGTCTTATGGATGAGATTTTTAAAAAAAACAAAAAAACTACATTCTGTTTAAACAATGAAGTTGTTTCTCCTGGAATGGAGAAATTTATGTATCCATTGTACTTTCTTCAGAAAAAAGAAAAGTGAAATTACTTAACAGCTTACTTGAGAAAGTTGCTTTTACAGATTCCCAGGGGCAACTTTAAATTTTTATCACTTTATAAGTTACGGCTACAAATCCGGGGTTACAAGGTTGAGCTTTAAGTTATGCCAGTTGACTGCATCCTGGGTTCCCTGCACCAGTGTAGATTGAGGAAGCAGAAAGAGAATCTCACGCTCGGTAGTATTTGAACCCAAGACCTCCAGATTAAAGAACCGGTGCTTCTATCCAAACACCACTTTTCCTCCACTTCTGGATACTATAACTAAAATTTTAGTATAGTCATTCAACTGAGACTTCAGAAGTGTATTTTATTGGTACTTTATATATAAACCAGTGTTAACTTTTGGTATGGAAAATCTTTGTATAAGCAAGTAAAAAATCAAATATTATGCTTTAAAGGGGCTCCACTGCAGACAAAAAGCCTAAAAACATAAGATTTTGAAAATCTTGCCTATCAAGTGATGTACCTGAAATGGAAAAAAATCTGCAAAAAAATAGTAATAAGATATATATAGAGTTAAATTTCAAGTTGGTTTTTTGCACAAATTCAAGTGAAAAGTGTTGCAGTGTTTTTCATTTCTCAGTTAAAATAATTATTCCGGGGAAAATGGAGTGAGAAGATAAACACAAGTTATTAGTCCAGACCTACATCAAATGGTATTTAAGTCTTGAAAAAAATATTTCAAGTCACTTCATTTAAAAAAAAACCTCAGTGGAGTCCCTTTAATTACATATTAATGTAGTGCAATTTTACTTTGAATGGCGGCATGGCCAAGTGTTTAACGCGTCAGACTAGTAATCTAAGGATTGCTGACCATGTGGATTCAAACCCTGTCAGGGGCAAGCCGTTGTCCTTGAGCAAGAAACTTTGAATTCATTGCTTAGTACTGGTTGGGTTCAGGAACGGATTCCAGAGTGTTTCAATAAGCTTATAGCTTCCAACACAATCAAACTAAAATAAATTTGTATAAACTAATTTTACTTTCTAAATTATGTGAGATTTGATCCATTCATTTACACGAGTATAAAAAAATAGAAAAATGTTGATTTCAGAGCTGTTTTATTTATAGATTAGTTTATATTTCAGGTATGGGCTGTAGTTGTTTACAAGTAACATTTCAAGCGTGTAACATAACGGAAGCTAGAAAACTTTATGATCAGCTGACACCATTATGCCCTATAATGGTAATATTAACGCTTATTATTTACCCATTTACCACATCCAAATGCTTGCAACTACCATATGGCTCAATATATTTTAACCTTTTTTGGAAGCTGCAGGAACCAATACATCTCCAATAAAATACAAATGTTACATAAATCATGCCCATAGGTGACAAAATTGGCCCCGCCCTGGGGGTCACTAACTTGTTAAGGAAAATACATCTAAGTCTTCTATATGGAAACTACATAACCTAGAGCTTACATATTTGGCATGTACATCTACAAAAGGGAAATTAGTTATGAATCTCAGATAAAAAATTGCAATGCCCTTAGTGTCACATAGATTATGATTTGAAACTTATTCCACCTGTAGAGATACTTAAAGTCAATATTTCTACATCAACATATCTGTAAACAAAAATATCAGGATTTTAATTTGTTTGTTAAAAATCCCACTATTGCATGTTTAAGAATATGTTCACAGACTTTCTTAAATGGTAGGCTAGGATGCAAAATCTTTTTATTGAAAAAAAAAATGCATATTAAATACAAAATCATGGTACTTTCCAAATATATATATTCAAAACAAATTTGCTGGAAGATTCATCAAAACTGGCATTACTGAAGTAAATGCAAATACAAGTCAATTGTTCCATCGCAGAGAAAGCATTAACTCTAAAATCTTATTTGTTTTAAATCAGGTTATTTTGAAGAAGAAAAAAATACAAAATTAATGCGATAAAAATATAATGATTTATTAAATTGTGTGATAATTGGTAAAGTGATTGTGATACATATAGTTACATGTGTTAGCTTGGAAATACATATTTAAATTTTTTGTTGTTTTCAGTTAGCTTTAAGTGCCGCATCCCCTATATATAGAGGTTACCTGTCTGACCTTGACACTCGATGGACAGTGATATCTCAATCTGTTGATGACCGTACAGATGAGGAAAGGGGTCTTAAGGTGAGGAAACATATTCATATCTGATAGAAACTTAATAGCAGTAAATACTATATAAGTGGATATTTGGGGGTGTCGAAAAAAACAGTGAATTTAAAATTCCAAACGTTTTGGTGTGAGGAAATATTTGCGAGTACATGTTTGTTCAAAGTAAAAACATGTTGATGCACTTCAACCATTTCAAATGTTGTCTTGTTTTGGCCATTGTTAATGTATAGCCATGGTACATCAGTGTTGTTTTATATCATATTTATCCATAGTAAACAAATTTTGTTGCCCCTTGTGGCTGAGGGGTTGCCTTTAATGGTTGAGGCACAAGAATTGCAGTCATTGTTAATCCCTGCATGATAGTAAGAGGCAACTAAATGGGTTCGAATAACTGGAGTCTATGCATCTCTTAGTCCCAGCAGGTGAGGTCATTTTGCAACCTGGTGTTGATTTAAAGATTTCAACACCTGCGGTTAGCCAAATTCATCTTTTCTGTTTTGTCACCATATGACCTCTACTGTATTGGTGCGTTGTAAAACCAAACAGACAAACAAAACAAACTTTGTTTCATTTGGCAATATTAGTCCAATATTGTTTTATTTCAGATACAGTTAACCAATATTGTTATATTGTTTTGCCACTGTTAACCAATATTGTTATATCTTAGCCACTGTTAACCAATACTGTTATATATTTTTACCATAGTTAACCATGGTTGTTTCATTTCAGCCACTGAAGGAGAACAAGTTTGTAATAAACAAGTCACGTTATGATTCCATAGACAGTTACCTCTCATGTTCAGCATACAGTAATATTAAGCTTGTCTACGATAAAGATATCTTTGAAAAATTAAAATCAGAAGGTACATTTATATAAAGATTCTATGAATACAACTTTGTATGAAAAAATGATATTTTCAAAATGTTCGGTAAAACAAGAAGTTTACTATAATGAATCTCATTATTTCTTTGTTAAATTTATTATTTGTTTTAAATTTTCTTATAAATGTTATTATAATAATAGGAAAATATTAGTGTAGGAAAAGTTCCCACCAATGTGACATTTTTATACATGTATTTGATGGGTGATAGGTCAATTTTAGTTTTGTGATTGATTGCTATTCATCAATTTTGATTTTGTAATTGATGGCATTTTAGCAAGTTTTGATAGCTGGCAATTGTTTGATTTCAAAGTTTAATATCAAAAGTCTGGATAGCTCAAAAATGTTTATATTTCGTAACTATGGTGCAAAGATAAGCATCAATATAAGCCTTGTACAGTAAATTGACAGGCTATGTCTTGTTTTTACAGGAATAGATGATTTGTTGGCCAGACATATTGCTCATTTATTTATAAGGGACCCAATTTCTTTGTTCAGCGAGAAAATCAATCAAAATGATGAAGAAGATACTGACCACTTTGAGGTAGTTTTTAAATATTCATTAGGTCTCTGCTGTGAAATAAAGCAAATGATTAAAATTAATCTTAAAGCAGCACACCTCCAGATTCATGCAAATTTTCATGAAAATTTTTTAAATGTTTTTAAATGTAAAATATTATGAAAATGAACCAAAACAAAACCCAAAAAATTTACATCGCAAATGTCACTTACCGTTAATGTAAATTACTTGAAGGAGGTTAAAATATGCAAAAATTGCCCTTACTGATTTAGTCTGGCAGTAGTTTGTAGTATGGTTACAAATACTGTAAAATCAGTCTTTAATTGCACAAAAGATGTAAATTATCACACTTTTTTAGCTCACCTGTCACAAAGTGACAGGGTGAGCTTTTGTGATCGCTTTTCGTCCGGCGTCCGTCGTCCGTCCGTCCGTCGTCCGTAAACTTTTACTTTAAATGACATCTTCTCATAAACCACTAGGCCAATTTCATCCAAACTTCACAGGAATGTTCCTTTGGTGGTCACCTTTAAAAATTGTTCAAAGAATTTAATTCCATGCAGAACTCTGGTTTCCATGGCAACCGAAAGAAAAAACTTTAAATATCTTCTTTTAAAAAACCATAAGAGCTAGAGCTTAGATATTTGGCATGAAACATCTTCTAGTGAGTGTCTACCAAGTTTGTTCAAATAAAAGCCCTGGGGTCAAAATTGGCCCCGCCCCGGGGGTCATTGATTTTCCCTATATGCATATAGTGAAAACTTAAAAAATCTTCTTTTAAAGAACTCAAAGAGCTATGGCTAAGATATTGAGCATCAAACATGTTCTAATAGGTGTCTATCAAGTTTGTTCAAAGAAAAGCCCTGGGGTCAAAATTGGCCCCGCCCCAGGGGGTCATTGATTTTCCCTATATGCATATAGTAAAAACTTAAAAAATCTTCTTTTAAAGAACCAAAAGAGTTAGAGCTAAGATATTTAGCATGAAACATGTTCTAATAAGTGTCTACCAAGTTTGTTCAAATAAAAGCCCTGGGGTCAAAATTGACCCCGCCCAGGGGGGGTCAGTGATTTTTCCCAATATATGCATATAGTAAAAACTTAAAAATCTTCTTTTAAAGAACTCAAAGAGCTATGGTTAAGATATTTAGCATCAAACATGTTCTAATAGGTGTCTACCAAGTTTGTTCAAATAAAAGCCCTGGGGTCAAAATTGGCCCCGCCCCGGGGGTCATAGATTTTCCTTATATGTGTATAGCAAAAACTTAAAAAATCTTTTTTGAAAAAACCCAAATAGCTAGAGTTAAGATATTAAGCATGAAACATCTTTTAGTGAGTGTCTACAAAGTTTGTTCAAATAAAGACCTGGGGTCAAAATTGGCCCCGCCCCGGGGTCGTTGATGTTCCTTATATGTGTATAGCAAAAACTTAAAATCTTCTTTGAAAAAACCCAAATAGCTAGAGTTTAGATATTAAGCATGAAACATATTCTAGTAAGTGTCTACAAAGTTTGTTCAAATAAAAACCCTGGGGTCATTACTGGCCCGGCCCCAGGCGTGTCATTGTTTTTAACTATATGTGTATAGTAAAAACTTTAAAAAAAATCTTCTTTTAAATAGCCCAATGAGCTAGAGCTTAGATGTTTAGCATGAAACATTTTCTTATGGGTGTCTACCAAGTTTGTGCAAAATAAAAGCCCTTTGGTTAAATTGGCCCTGCAATGTTTTGGGGGGGGGGGTTGGGGCGACCTATATACAGGGTGAGCGACCTCAGGGCCATCATGGCCCTCTTGTTTACTTTTTCTTTAAAACTTGAAAGATCTTTTCACGATAATGATTTTTCTTGAAATAATTTGGCTCATCTGGAGGCATGCAGCTTTAACCCTTAACCTTGAGGACATAAGATTTCATTAAAGAGTGATATTCTTACAGTCTGCCACAAGTATTGAACCAGGCTGGCATACATATACATTCAACCAGACTGGACTCTCTACTGTTTGCTCACTTCATATACCTAAAATTTATAATGGACTGTTCCAAAAATGGAAACTGGACAAGTCCATAAAAGAAATTCAGCAGGTTAAAGGTTAAACATGTTCACTGAAGTGGGTAATGATTTAAAGATAAATTTGAAGTACATTTTGCCTCAGAAACCAATATTATTATTTTTTCCTTCTTTAGAAAGGGCAAACATGAGTTTTATAATGTTGAAATTATGGTTTATCCAATGAAGAAAATAGTGCTGGATTTAAAATTATTTGTCATAAAAGTAGCAAAATGTAAACAAAGCAGTATTTTGACTTCTGTACAAAATACATAGTCAATAAAACTTTACTAATGACCAAAAGGCAGCAAGGCAAAAGGTGGTTCAGGTAATTGGCCAATGAGTAACTTTTTCGAACAAGACAATAAAAATAAAAAGCTTTTGAGAAATAAAATAGGTATAATTGGCCTATAATGAGGTTATTATTACTAGTCTACTGCTGGTTGCTGTTAGTTACAGTTACTAGGGAGTTAAATTCTTTGTATGAGCTAAGTTCACAAATGGTTCATGGTTCTATCAGTTGCCTGCATATTAAATAATGCATGAAGAGGTTCTGTGGGACTTTACTGCACAAGTCAGATGAGACATTTGACAATTTCCTTAATGTTAGCTTTACATAAAACTTATTCAAATAAATAGGTAAAAACATGTTCATTTTATATGGAGATCACTGATACAACCTCACAACCTTTTTATTATTTCTTTATGTTCATAAGGATAACTGTATTCTGTGATATTGTTGACATTATTTTTCAAAAAAAAAAAAAAAAAGATACAGATAAAATGACTGCTGTTAGACAGGCTTATTTGACCTTATTTGTATGAGAATGAAATTTTCTCAATAAGTGTTATTTTTATATATTTAAAAAAAAAGATTAAAAACTTGATAGCAGGCAATCAAGCTTATTTTATTCTAACTATTTTGATGACCACAATATTTTTATTTTTAGAACATTCAGTCAACAAACTGGCAGACAATGCGTTTCAAACCTCCACCACCACACAGCAACATTGGTTGGCGGGTTGAATTTCGACCAATGGAAGTCCAGCTTACTGATTTTGAGAATGCCGCCTACACTGTATTCCTTGTGTTGATGACTCGGGTTATATTGACATTTGAACTGAACTTTATTATTCCACTGTCCAACGTTGATGATAATCTACGAAGGGCTTTCAAAAGAGACGCGATTAGAGAAGAAAAGTTTTGTTTTAGAAAAGATCTATTGACAGGTATGGTATACTCACTTAGTTGTTCAGAGATACATGCCTTCATATAAGTAAAGGAATTTTCAAGAAACCAAGCTAAAGAAAAATATATTAAGGGTTTGTTCACAGACCGTGTGACAAATAACAGGTTTCATGCAAAATGTGACTGGATTCATAACTATGGTTCACCTGCATTATGTGTATACCATATCTTTCGTTGATATTTGAGGAGACTATACAACTATACAATTTGCTTGCAGGAACTGGTTTATTATCCCCTGCCGAAAAATTTCGGCGGAGGATATAGAAATAGTCTCCGTCCGTCCGACCTTCCGTCCTTCCGTCCGTCCGTCCTTCCGTCCGACATTTTTGTCCGGAGCATATCTCTAAAAGTATTTGAGGTATCAACTTGAAACTTCATAGGTGGATAGACCTCATTGAGGAGGAGTGCAGTGCACAAGAATGATAACTCTACCTTGCATGATTTTTGAGTTATTGCCCTTTGTTATTTTTCAAAATTGATTTTTGTCCAGAGCATAACTTAAAAAGCTTATGAGATATTTACATGAAACTTCATAGGTGCATAGATCTCACTCAGGGGGTGTGCAGTGCACAAGAATGATAACTCTACCTTTCATAATTTTTGAGTTATTGCCCTTTGTTATTTTTCATACCTAATTTTTCACCTGAGTGGAGCATAACTCAAAAAGTGTTTGAGATATCAACATGAAATGTCATAGGTGGATAGATCTTATTGAGGAGGAATGTTGTGTGCAAGAATGATAACTCTTCCCTATACAATTTTTGAGTTATTGCCCTTTGTTTTTTTTATGTTATTTTGTCCAGAGCTTATCTTAAAAAGTATTTGAGGTATCAACTTGAAACTTCAAAGGTGAATGGATCTCATTGAGGAGGAGTGCAGTGCTTAAGAATGATAACTCTACCCTGCATTATTTTTGAGTTATTGCCCTTTGTTATTTTTCAAAATAATTTTTGTCCAGAGCATAACTCAAAAAGCCTTTGAGATATCAAAATGAAACTTCATAGGTGCATAGATCTCACTCAGGAGGTGTGCACTGCACAAGAATGATAACTCTACCTTTTATAATTTTTGAGTTATTGCCCTTTGTTCTTTTTCATACTTAATTTTTCAATTCAATTTTTTTCTCAAAAAGTATTTGAGGTATCAACTTGAAACTTCATAGGTGGATAGATTTTACTGAGGAGGGATGCAGCACACAAGAATGATAACCTACCCTGCATTATTTTTCAGTAATTGCCCTTTTCAGCCATCAGTATTCACATAGGTTTCAAATCTGTAATCATTATAGCCATCAGTTTTCATTACCAAAAGACCTCTAAAAATGGAATTATTCCGCTCTACTACATATACATTCTTCCAATGAGCAAACACATTCGGCGGGGGATGGCCATGTTGACATGGCTCTTGTTTATTCTACATCAGTAAAGTTGAAAAGTGACTGTTGTAGTAAATAAAGTATCACTTTTACTTTAAAAAACAAGAAAACAAAGTTATAACAGGTAATTAACATATATTCTTGTTGAGCAAGTAAAATTTTTATTTTTAGAGAATATTTGATGTTACATTCACTAGCAAGCTGTAACGGAATGCAGATTAACTTTTAACTTAGATACATACATTTATGGGGTGGGGGATTTTTCATATACAACATTAGCAGGAACATTTTTCAATAATATTTCATTTTTAGTTCAACTATGCCAAGAATAGGGAGAGCTATTGTACTCACCCAGGCATTGATGTTGCTGTTGAGGTTAAATTTAATCATTTAAGTTGATTATCACAAAAACTACTGATGGGAATGGAATAAAACATATACACATGTTCTCTGTGATTATCTTATATGATGTGTACAGGTTCCATTACTCTGAACTACCTTTTTACAGGAGTAATGCCCCTTTTTCTAACGGCTCTTGTAGATTGATATTCTAACTGATTTAAAAATACAAATTTCAGATGATTCACCTCCCATAGCAGAGCAATGTGTAATAGATTGTTGCGAGGGGAAGACATGTACACAACAAGACCATTTTACACAGATGTCCATAGATGAAATTATTCATGGGAAGGTAAGCTTGTATACAATGGCATAGTTTACTTATTGTGTGGGTGTACAATATTTTTATAACATGCTTTCAATTGACTGTGAAAATATGTTTTTATAATGTCACAGTGAAATTATCAAACTGTATTCTCACTTTAGCAGAGGAAGACTGTGAAATTATGTAGACTGTATAAAGATAATGTTACAGTGAAATTATCAAGCTATAATCTCACTTAAGCAGATGAATATTTGAATGTAGATATAAAGCATAAATGATAAGTTGAAATTTGTAAAGATACACCTGTCATAAGTACAACATACATAGTTAAGTGAAAACACGTAAATGTTTTAATAATTCTATAAAGTAGTACGGATGGTGTTTGACAGACATTAAAATTGAATTATAACTATCAAAAATGCATGAAAGAGAAAGAAAATTTGTTCCATTTTACATTGCATTGTATTTCATTTGATAGCATCTGTTGTCATAATATAACTTGAGGGTATTCCACATATGAAAATATTGCATTCCATGTCAAATGTATTAGAATCTTAAATAGGTCTAAACTTACGTTGCCTGAAAAGGTGGATGGTCTATTATCTAAATATAAACAAAAGTGTGTGTATTACATTTTTAGTTTTTGATATTATATGATAATGTATTTTGTAATATTATAGGATGATTACCCAGGTTTAATACCTCTCATTGACAAGTACATTGATATGACGGAGATTGACGTGGACACAAGATGTACGATACAGCAATATCTTAAACTCATTTCAGACCGGGCCTCAGGTAAAATTTACATTTTTCGTAAAATGGTTGTTATTCATATGGCACCAAGTCTTTGATTTTAATATCAAAAAGTTTAAACCTATATATAATGAAATAATTTTGTAGAATTTATTACCAGTAAAATTATGTTATGGTTGATTCTTTAAAGAGTTTTACAATAGGAACATATTTATTATTTAACACACATGAATATTGTATGAAAACAGAATAAAATGTTCCGGAACAAAATATTATGCTGCTAATTTTATAGGCTGTTTATTGTTTAGCATTGATTTTGTGCATGTGCCATTCGCTTTTAATAAAATTTTCAAACATATTTCATTCATACAGGTATTTTGGGATATTTTTTTCTTCAAAATTTGATAATAGTTTTGTAAACTACAGGCAGCAGATATATGGCTTTCTACTTGTTCAATCCTAACACCTCTAAATTTTAAACATTAACTTATAACAAGAATAAAACGATAAACTTATTTAAAAAAAGAATATTTGACTTGATAAATGCATAAGCTAAAACATTGATTAATCTTTTATTCTATATTTACGTGTTGTTGTTGATTTTTTCGCCCTAACATAAGCTTACTCTTTTTGATGCAGTCAAAATTAGATTTAAAAAAATATAAAGTCCACAATTGAGTTAATTTCAATGTGATGTTTTTGACCTACTTAAATATGACAACTGTGCTTGGCAGCTTTTGATGAAAAAGAAATAACTTTACAACTTAATATTTTATATTATTTTACCTTTTATAGTGATAAGAATCTTACATTGATTTTGATGTGACATTGACCTTTAATTGACCTTGACTGTCAAGGTCAAATATGAAATTTAAATTTATTTTATTACAAAAAAAAAATGTTTTGTAGTAATATTCTTTACTATAATATTCTTCCTTTTATGTGTTTGACTTTAGAAATAACAAAAAGACAAGCGGTCCCCTTGATAGGTGGTGACTCTTTTATTAAGTTATTTTCTTTATATGAAATTTAAATTTTTAACAGATTCTAAAGGGCAATTTACCTCCATTTTAGAGATTTTGGTCAAGTTATTTGAAAATGATAATATGTTGATTGTTTTAATTTTCAGGGAAGTTGAAGACTACAGCACAATGGACGAGAGATTTTGTGATGTCACACGCTGACTACAAGCATGATTCAGTTGTCCCGGAATCGGTGAACTATGACCTACTTATGAAATGTGCTCAAATTACCGACGGTAACTTTGACCCGGAACTGTTACCAGTGTCGGCAAAATCAAAGACCTCGGACAATATTCCCCCAGCTATGAGAAAAGTTGATGCCTACTTAAACAAGAAAAATCCGAGGAATGGAGAAATGACAATGTTAAATAATTCTACATGATCGATTAATTTTCTGATCAGTTAGAATAAAAAAATCAATACTAGTTCCTCATAGTTAATGTATTTAATAGCTCTTCTGATGATGAAGTGAGCGGTAGGGGACCTATAGCTAGTCTACTGTCTGTACTGCCCATGTTGGGTTGTTTACAGTTTAGGGTGCTAAGTTCTGATAGGTCTTTGTAGCAAGGTCAAACATTTGACATCTGGGAACAAAAATTAGGTCATCAGATCAAAGAAAAACCTTGTTAAATCTCTTGAGAACACAGTCATTTTTATGCCAATGCAGTATCTGTTAAATCGTGGCATATAGTGATTTACTTGTTTGTGTGTGTGTGTCTATCCATTATATAAATTATATACTGAACTTTCAAAATCTTCTTATCAAAAACCGTTCAAAGTCAGATTTTGATCCAACTTGGTAGGATTGTTTGTTGGGTGAATGACTTAAAATTAATCAATGTAGAAATATGGTTGCCTATGCAACCAAAATAAATGAATGGAAGAACTACTTTATAATTGCAAGACCTAGAGCAAAGATATTTTGCAGGAGGTATTGTCTGTGGATCTCTTGCTAAGATTAAACTTGTATTCTTGGGATCAACTTTTTTGCCTTTGAATAAATATAATTGTGTGTAATTGTTTTCTTTGTCTTGTAGTCAAATTGTAAATGCAAATTCAAATTGTAAAGTGTAGCTTGTTAGAATAACATAAAATGTGACATTTTTGCATGTGCTCATCAGTAGGCTGATTATGATTATGACTTTCAGCCCCAGGCCATCATGGTGCTGTTGTCTTTATATAAATGTACATGTATGTTGTAAAAACTTAAGGTCGACTTCTCTGACTTTGATCATTGAGAGTTGGTGTATTGATACGTTCAAACAAATGATATACCACTTTTCTTCCCACTAGCCAAACAATGTGGTGGCATTGCATAATACAGTCTTGTCAGACTTTTGTCATGAAAGACCATGCCTTTAGTTTGATCAATGTTACATAAAGGTAGCATGCATTGATGTTTCTGTTATTTCTTGCTATCTTTGAGCATGTTTAAAAAAGGAAATGGTATTTCCATTCAAGGTCAAGACTGGATATGGTGGATAATATTTGTACATGTACATGTAATATCTCTAGTATTATAAAAATATTGTAATCAAACTTAGTACTGGTATGTAGCAGGCTGTTTTGGACACCTTGCTTGGTATTACTATTTTGGCTAGTTAGGGTCAAGGGAGGAGTTAATATAAATAGATGAATGGTTTATGGTCCATAGCTACATCACTTGGGAAGGAGATATTGTAATCAAACATAGTATATAATTTTCTTATGTGGACACCTTTCTTGGGATTGCCTTTTGGCTACCCCCCCTCAGGGTCAAGGTCAATCATTGAAACTTAAAATAGAAAAATGGTTTCATGTCTATAACTACATTTAGGAAACAAACTTTGGTTTACAACAAGCTTGTGTGGAAACTGCTTGTAATGGTCTTTAGGTTCAAGGTCACTGTTACTAAAAATATTAAAAAACAACAACAACAGTTTCCTGAGGGTGGCATTTTGTGGGTGTTTTTTTTAAAGATATCTTGTTGAAATTGTTAAAGCTATATCTTTAAAGATGATTATTTAAAAAAAAGTATAGAATATTTGTCAGATTTGTTTGTTGTATACATTATTTTAGCTCACCAGAACCGAAGGTTCAGGGGGAGCTATTAGTATCAAAGGGGGATGCTCCAGCATCCGTCGTCATGTGTCAACAATCATCTCCGAAACTGCTATGCAGATTTACTTCAAATTTGATCTGTACCATCCTTGTGACTGTCACACTTGAATTTGCTCATGTCATTTCAATTGGCCCCTTTTAGGGGTCAACAGAGCTAAAAATAGAAAAACCTTTGAACATCTTCTACTACAGAACTAATTGATGGATGATCACCAAACTTTGTCTGTAGCATTCTTGGGTAGTCTTAATTTGCTCATATTAATTTGATTGGCCCCGTTTAGGGGCCCCTAAAGCTAAAAATAGAAATACCTTTAAACGTCTATTTCTACAGAACTAATTAATGGATGATTACCAAACTTTGTCTGTAGCATTCTTGGGTAGTCTTTTATCAAGTTTGCTCATATTAATTTGATTGGGCCCATTTAAACTAAAACTTAAATGCCCCAGGTCTTGGCATTTCTTCAAATTATTGTTTAAACATATTCTATGCTCAAATTTAATATTAGAAAATATTGACAATGGATAATTTCCAACACTGAAAAGCAGTTGTTTCTGATGAGCGACTCAGGGTCATCATGGCCCTCTTGTTTTGTATTATATTGTAAAAGATGCAGAGAGTTTAAACAGGTTAATTGGAATAATATTAAAGTTATTGTAATTACAGTTATTTGTGTTTATATTTAAACCCCCAATTGTAGATCTATAATAATCTGTTGTCTGCCATAATGGTTATATATATATATACAATGTACACATTGTTTCTACAAGCAATTAGATTTTCCTCATGTAACATTAAAGATTATTATTACTCTTCCACAGATAGGATAAATTTTGGGTAGCCTTTGCCCTTTATCTTGTTTGTATGTTTGAAAACACATAACAGGAACAAGAGCAATCTATGGTAATGCCAGTGTGATTGAATTAAGTAATAGGTGAAAACCTGGTTTGTAGCCTAACTAGGGCTCAAACCCAGAATCCCTAAATTGAGAGACAGACAACTTAACCATGAGGCTTGTTAGAGAGGCATTAGTTTTGTAATGTATAATCCTTTCCATAATTAGTTTAAAGAAAATACAAATAATCATGCCCACATTTATAGAGACATGTGTATTGGAAGGAATTGTGACTTTTAGTGTTCACTTATGCAGAATTACAGTTCAGATATCAATAGCTAGTACTGTAATTACTGTCTTAATGGGTTTAAAGTAAAGGTTTAATGTGTGTGTATGCAGGTGTGCACATTCTTGCATGTGTGCCAAGATTAAACTAATTTTTTTTTTTCAAATATTTAACAAGTGAATAAAATTTTGATAACTGAATATTCTCTCCATGAGTGCCCATGTGAAGTATTGGTAAGCACTATATGTATGACTAAGTGCTTGTATTATAACTAGTTTACTAGTATAGATTTTATGTTAATGTACATAATATTTAATTAAATGTTATTTTATATAGTTGTTACAGGATCATATATATTTGCATAAGTAAATGGACCATGAGGCCCTGTATGGGTGTCACTTCTTTTAGTTTTATGTCCCCTGCCGAATAAGAGATAGAATGTCATAATTCTTGTAAAGTGGTCAGTGTAAGAGATAACTCTGTTATGCATAATACCATATATGTCTGATGTAGTGGTCTCCCTTTTAATAACGCTACACACACGGTGATATGTCCATAATGGGGTACATGTGTATTACTATAATATACAGATTTACAGCTATACTACCCTATTTAACTGATGAGCAGGGGTAAAGTTTTGATCAAAAAAATTTTTTTTGTCCCAGATGTCTCCATCAGTATAGCATTTGCAATGAGATCGATGTTTATGTAATGTAGGATAGTCGGTCTAGCTATAATTGGCTGAAGTTTTAGATGCAATTTCAATTTTCCTTTACCCGCATCTCTTGCATGAATGTTTGCTGAATTGTACCTCTGATTAAGCCATTATTCATTTTTCGGGCCGATTCTCACCTTCCGGTCCAACTCTGTCGTGTAGTAATGTCTTATTACCGACGTTCACCGGCCCGGCTATATTAATGAGAAAGACTACATGGAAACATGTTCGCCGTGTCTTGACATGTGTCTATACTATAATTTTGTTTCATATTATATCTTTTTGTGCCCCACTTTAGGGGGGTGGGAGATTTAGATTTACCTTTGTCCATCCATCCTTCCGTCCGTCCGTTCTCTTTTGTGTCGCACATAACTCAAAAAGTATTTGACCTAGATTCATGAAACTTCGTGTTACTAAGTATTACAGCAATCATGGCAATAATCAATGTACAGTACAAACGCTATTACGAAAGATGACAGATAAGTTCACTGAATTGCTTTATTCGGAATATCAGTGAAATAACCGATCTCAGAGTCCATATAGTTTCTAATGGAGATTTTTGGTGGTCTACTACGACGTTAAGATGACCTGGGATATGTTTTCTAAGTGAAAACGAAGGAAAATCACAAAGATATATGATCATTAAAAAGTTTCTTTTGATCAGAGCTCAAAAACTATTTACATATTAAAATTGAACTAAACATTGATCAAAATCACTATGTACATGTAGTACTTAAAGCACGCCGACGCCGACTCTGTGTTACGTCGACGTTAACTTTCTCAATGTAAATCATCACATGTGCCGGTGGTAATTACCCATATTTAGCTTGTCCTTAAAACGTTACACAAAACTGTGCAAATGTTTATATTACATGTGAATACAGACCCAGATGCACACATAACAGTCGTAAAGTGTATCGGTCCAAAATAAAAGGTCTGTAATATACCATAAAAATATCTTGATATTATTTATTATCTTATCATACGTGATAATAAACCACGAACGGATTATACAAGAATGTTTGTTGTTGGTAAGTGTTAGCACTACATATCTACATGTATATACAAAGGATAATAAACTGTTCTGGAATAAATTAGTATTATTCATCATATAAATGTTCTTATAAAATCACTTAAAACTCTAATCGACTTTTTTCATACAAAAGTTCTATAAGAATATCCAAATGGTACATTTCTAATTTTATTTATTGATATTTGAAATAATTACGAATAATGTGCCAATCCACTAGCTCTGAATTATAATAGCCGTGCCTGTCAATCTCTTCTGTCATCTATTCTCCTTAAATGACTCTTACCAGTGGTAGATTTTTTTACAACAAATTAAAATATTTTCGAATTCTTAATTTGTTTTAATGCTTCCACACCTGTTAACCGGTTGCATGTAGAACGTCCAAAAGTGTTGCAGACTCTGTTCATGGACGGTACTGGAAAGTGCTATCAACCTATATACCGTCTACAAATTTAGAAAATATGCAGATGTGTTCATACAGCGGTCAACATATATATAGACACGCTGGTGACATTCCATGAAAAGCGGCTTGTGGCCCCCAAATAAATTCGTGTTCTTCGACTTGAACTTGAAAAGGTGAACATAATGCGCCACTTTAGAAAAAAACAAATTAAATAGCTAAACTAAACAAAATAGAATTTCGGAACATAACATGTGGCATCTTGAGCAGACTGAGACTTTTGCAGAATTTTTCTCAAATGCAAAATTAATTTACCGCAGACAAGGCACGTACATATATGATAAATTAATTCATATTTCATCTAGCTTGTAATTATAACCAGAGACGTCTGCACTGGGACCAGGTCTGCATGAGCCAATGAAATAGAAAGATGTTTACAAATTGTTATAAAATCATCAATAAAATCACGGAATTGAAGTCCGTGATAAAATGCTTTAAACGACTTTTTTTTTAAAAATGCTCGTGCTTAAAACATAGCTAACACATTACATTGTATATCACGGCTTACTATATGTCTCTGATATCAAAACCGTGATTATATTTCCATTTTAAAATATACAGATCCGAGACACATTCAACATTAATATAAATCTCTGAGGAAACAAACTGCACATTATTTTTTGTCCGATTTTTTTTTTTTTTTTTTTTTTTATTAACACTTTACCATTTTTCAATTTCATGATAAACCAATTATTGAAAGAAAATTATCATGTACCCTCGAGAATAGTCCAACTAATTAGACTTGTCAAGGAGACACCGAGATAATTTTGGACGGGCGCTGTCTTTAACGGTTTGACAGTAAGAAAAAAAAAGTCTGTAAAATGGGTCAAACCGTTCACGCCAAATTAATTAGGCTACCTCGAGAAGAACCTCAAACCGGATAAAATGAAAATATCCGTGATATCCCAAATAAGATGGAATGCAAAACTTGACACGATTGGGTCAGCTTGTTTGTATTGCGGATTTTCATTGGAGAATGGATCTGTCCCATTTGTTTACATAATAAATACATGTACACAGTAATGTGTAATTTGATGTAAGAAGTTGCCGAAAGAACGGATTAGATGAATGGATCTTTGATATTAATGTAGCGTTGGCTTTACACATTTACACTATGGACAAAAGACTGAAGGAAGGCGAGGTAAGACGTCCATTTTATTTATTACAATGATTAAAAATACGCCTTTTGCCGTTTTGGCACCGGCGAATGCTGGTTTGGAATTGTTTTAGGCTTTGTACACTCTAATTGATAAGATATGTACTTAGGTATTGTTCATATGCTGTACACTCCTCAGAAGATACAGGGGAATGAGAAAGATGATAGCCTTGTTAATGTATGTTTAGTTGTGGACATCTAAGCTCCGTTTCAATATTTCTTTTGTATGACTAGTTATCCGATAGATCATTGATTTTAATTCTCAAAGAAAAGTAAATTGTTCAAGTCATATATATTATGTATATGCTTGGTTAATGTAATGGTTTTGTTATGGCACCATGGATAATGGTCAGGGGTTTGTCTATGCTACCACCAGTATAATATACTGGAACTAGTCTTTGCTACCACCAGTATAATATATGGAACTAGTCTTTGCTACCACCAGTATAATATATGGAACTAGTCTTTGCTACCACCAGTATAATATATGAAACTAGTCTTTGCTACCACCAGTATAATATATGGAACTAGTCTTTATTTGCTACCACCAGTAAAATATATGGAACTAGTCTTTGCTACCACCAGTATAATATATGGAACTAGTCTTTGCTACCACCAGTAAAATATATATGGAACTAGTCTTTGCTACCACCAGTATAATATATGGAACTAGTCTTTGCTACCACCAGTATAATATATGGAATTAGTCTTGCTACCACCAGTATAATATATGGAACTAGTCTTTGCTACCACCAGTATAATATACTGCAACTAGTCTTTGCTACCACCAGTATAATATATGGAACTAGTCTTTGCTACCACCAGTATAATATACTGCAACTAGTCTTTGCTACCACCAGTATAATATATGGAACTAGTCTTTGCTACAACCAGTATAATATATGGAACTAGTCTTTGCTACCACCAGTATAATATATGGAACTAGTCTTTCACTCTTTGCTACTACCAGTATAATATACTGCAACTAGTCTTTGCTACCACCAGTATAATATATGGAACTAGTCTTTGCTACCACCAGTAAAATATACTGCAACTAGTCTTGCTACCACCAGTATAATATATGGAACTAGTCTTTGCTACCACCAGTATAATATATGGAACTAGTCTTTGCTACCACCAGTATAATATACTGCAACTAGTCTTTGCTACCACCAGTATAATA